TCTCTCTCTCTCTCTCTCTCTCTATCAACAGAGACAGAAGCAGGTGGGTGTTGTAAGACATGCACGCAGGGGTCGTGTTGCCTCCAGTGGGCATCTCTCCCCCTCCCACCCTCTGTGTCTTTTCTTTTTTCTCTATTTAGATTATTGTGTTCACTTGAGCAGCTCTGAAAGCCTGAGCACTCATTCACTCACAGTCAGATGGAAGACATGGAGGTAGAGAAGGAGAAAAGAGTCTCCCCATCCCCCTCTTCTCTCTTCCATGGGCATGCAGCATATTTATATGTAAGTGTATGTGAGAGTGTTGCTGTTTCTTTGTTGTGCGTGTAAATGGATTAATCCACAGTCCAGAGCTCAGAGGTTTAGTGTGGTTCTGAGATGTAGTGTGGGTTTCATCTCTGGTGCAGTAGGGTTCAAAATATGAGACCATATCGAAAATCTGGATATTTTTTTTTTTTTTTTTTATTAAACATGGGCATTAACAGAAAGTTTTAGAATCTTGTTTGGAAAGAAAGAAAGAAATACACAGATAAATAAACAAATAACTAAATGTAAAAAAAAAATGAACATGATTCTTTATTGTTTAGGAATCAAATAAAACTGATAAACCTATAAATTAATCATTTAAATCTGTGACATTTATCATGTTCTTAGCAACCCTTATACAAATACTGAATTGTTTTTTCATTTTTCTTTAAATCTTTTTTTAAAGTTTCTTTCTTTTAAATTGTCTAATATGTGTTTAACTGATTTGTCAGTCACTGATGTTATAATTTGTAATAAAAAATTTCTCATTTAAAAATCGTCAATTTATGAAAGTGTTTGAATTAAAAACTGATCTTTTTAATTAAAATCTTATTAAACTGTATTAAATATAAAACTGATAACATAATTTCAAATGAAAAATGTATGATTAAATGTAAATGTTAAATGTATGTTAAATAAATAATGAAAACGTTTAATGTATGTATAAATTAAAATATATACTTAATATATACTAAAGTCCATAAATAGAGCTCAAAGTATCATGTTAATATGAAGTAATTTTCTGTATTGAGTTTTCACTGGTATGTTACCCATATTTTGAATTTCGCTTTGCATTTTTTTGTGTTTTAGGGTTGAAGGAAATGTCCTTAAACTTGACGGAAAATACTGGTAATTTGTTGCCACAACATTATCCGTTGTGTCTACTTTTTTTTTTTTCTTATACAGTGATTGTAATGAACTAGTAATGAACAATTTTGCATTAAATTAAAAAAGAAGCCTTTTTACAAGTAAACCCAGTGTATGTTTGAGCTCAGATATGTGATTAAACTATAAGCCATCTAAAACAAATTTTATAATATGATCATGATTATAACATCAATGTACCAAATTCTGCATCACTAAATAATAAGATTAAATACAAATGTGGATAGACTTGCTAGTAAGCCTCATCATTGCAGGAAACATGAAGTCTTAGATTAATAACAGGCTTGTGTTTTTGATAGGGCCATGTGGTCATTTCTGACACAGTAACCTTGCATAAATAATATGGATGTTCTTCAGTCAGAGCCCCTCATTAATGGATGCAGGGGTCATCATGGGTTGAAAGGCTTGTTTTGGGGCTTCTGTCTAATTAATTCAGAGACATCTGTTACACCTGATCTGACTCTAAGGAAAAGATTTACAAGATCCCCTCTGTCACACGTGCACACACACACTCACAGGGCATAAAAGGTCATCTTTCTTAATGGCCGTTTTCCCAGTATATCTGAATGTGACTATTTATAATGTGTATGTTGTTTGCTCTTATATGGACAGTCTTTTTATTTAAAAATTATTCAAGTACTTTCCGATTTCCTCTGACTAACTTTTCAGAATTTAACACACATTAATGAATTTGAAAATGTGATTTTATAATGTTGTTATCAAATAAAACAGATGCTATGTTTTTACTACTTTACTACTAAAAAAAAAAAGCTTAAATTTATAAATTAATAAAGCTTAAAAACTTTAACACTTACAAAATATCAATACTGGAAAACATAATCTTTTCAAAAAGAAAAAAAATGTGCGAATGTGTACAGTATATGCACACATGGAGGCATAAGAACAACTGGACAAATTGTAGATAACTACATCTTAATAATTAATTTATTTCCTTTCAATATACAGAACAGGATGAATCACTTTGTCCAATGAGCTTTTTCTTTTTTTCTTTTTTTTTTACAAAAGCTTTATAGAAAATATCCCAGTTAAACATAAATAAGTGTATATATATATGAAGCAAACAGACAGCTGAGTAAACAACATCATGTTCTGATTTAAATAAATATAATTATTGGCACGAGAACTCTCAACGTGGTTGAGAACTTCTCATCATTGCATAATTCTCCTATTCAAAAGACACCATCGCAGTCAGGCACAGAGATCAATTTCTGGTGGCATGCATTGTCCTGGCATAAAATAAATAAATTCTTTGGAGAAGATATCGACCAAAACTTAATAACTGAATGTATCAGAAGCTTTCTGATAGATATAACTTAAAACACATACAAACATAGACACCAGACATGACATGCTCTCTCCTACAAAGTGCAGTTACTGTCAGAATATAGATTAGATGCATCAGAACTACTGGATTACATTGTATAGTCTACCCTTATTGCTTCCACAGATAAGATTTTTAAATAAAATGTGCCAAAATATGGTTATATTATATACTTTATAATAACGTAATATGAATTTTTGAGTTGAAAACCACAGTAACATATGCATGATCTCTGTCATATAAAAAAACTCTGAATATAAAATGTGCAGACAAAACATAAGAAGTGACAAAACAAACAAACAAACAAATAAACTAATAAATACAGATACTGTATCAACAGATGAGTGGTTGAGTGTTCATCTAACATTGTCATACACAGAACACATTGTCATACACAGGACATGTTTATCAAGCTTGTGGTGGAAGAACCCAATCATCAATGCACTTTTAGGAAGTGAGCATTTTATCCTGGGTGAAAGAGATTTGGAATAAAAACTGTAAAATACACACACACACACACACATATATATATATATATATATATAATTATCTCTCAAATTCCGTTTGTGTATATTCTTTGAGTCTGTGATCAGCTGTTTGGTTTTGACAGTGTTAACGTTCCTGAAACATTTTGATCCAAGGCCTTTTTATAATTCATGTTGTTATTGCACTCTTTTCTTGTCCTCTTACTTCTCACTGGATTTCTCTGCTGTTTTCCTCATCTCTTCTCATTTCCTTGTGTGAAGTAGGGGTTTTCATGACCCATCAGATAAGAGTACCGTGTGGGGTTTATGTCCTTAAAGGTCCTCATGCCATCTGTTCTGAGGTCATACGAGCCCGACTGCAGAAGAAACGAGTCCATATTAGCCACGTACAGGTAAACACAACCCACAACCCTTCATTCTCTCAGCACATCTCATCTTATAATACCAGCATGGAGGAAAATCGCAATTACCTGCTTAAAAATTCATGCAAAGCATATGATGGCATGCAACAAGTCAAACCAGAGATCGAAATCAAGATTTCATCCCAAACGTAACAGTAATTCACTTCAGAATGTAGAGTTTATATAGCGGTGGGAAGTGATGATGCCAGTCACAAAGAGAAAAGAAGAAATTAAAGGGAAATAAAGGAATATTCCTTCTAGGTTAAATACGTAGGTGATGACGAAGATGTTGGTGGTACATTCATTATTTTGTTGATGCTAATGCTGCAGAAGGTACTCACTTAAACTTTAAGTTGTGTTTAACCCAGAATATTCCTTTACATGAAAGAACTTGGACACTAAAGTCCCTTTAAGGCAAGTCAGTTCACTTGGCAGCCATATTTGTAACGCAGTTTTCAACCATAGAAGCCATGAAAGACCACGATTTATGTAAATGTTTGTTGAAATTACATTTCAATAACAAAAATGAAAAGTTTGAGGTCTGGTAGTTTTTTAATGGTTTTAATGGTCTTTTATGTTCACCAAGGCTGCATTTATTTGATACAGTAAAAATACAAATATTATTAAATATTATTATTTCAAAATGTAATTTATTCCTGTGATGGCAGAGCTGAATTTTCAGAATCATTACTCTAGCCTTCAGGGGCTATGTTTACATGGACACTTTGTTTCAATCGGAATAAAATCAATCTGATTGATGAATCCGAACGTAGTGTTTACATGAACGCTAAATAAAGTGATTGGGTTCATGTGCACCATTTATATCACAAGCTTCAATATCGTATTTGATCTTTTGACATGCGCACAAATATACAGAGAATTCCTGAGGTTTGCACATACTATTCTCCTGTCATTGCTTCCTTTCTTAATATTTAATATTTATCCTAATTAGAAGATGAGCATGTGAAGCTTTGTACCATGATACTTTTATTTATCAAGTAGTCATTTAAGACACTTAATTCTACAAAAACAACAGCTCGTTCCACGCGTCATGTGTCATTACGCCATTTCTACGTCATTGCACACGCACAGTACTTTTCAGTGTCGGTTTTCAATCCGATCAAGTGTTTACATGTCCTCTCGGTCGGATTAGAAAAGGTCTACACCCCTTTCAATCCGATCGAAATTTCATTCAGATCTATAAAGGTGTTTACATGCAGGCTTTTCAGTCTGATTGAGCCATCAGTCCAATTTCTAATGGATTATTGGGGTGCATATATACATAGCTGTCACATGATCCTTCAGAAATCATTCTAATATGCTCATTTGTTGCTCAAGAAACATTTCTTAGTATTATCAATGTTAAAAACAATTGTTCTGCTTAATATTTTTGTAGAGAATTATACTTTTTTTTCAGGATTCTTTGACAAATAGTTCAAAATAACAGCATTTATTTAAGCTGTATATTTTAACTGTGAGATGGGACTTCCATTCCTACAGCCATTATATTGAGTGTTTCAATAATGCAATTGGCTCTTTTAAGTTTAAGGTGGAACCACAGCCAGTATGTTGTGCATTCATATATGTATCAGTGGACTGTCTTTGCCTTTTACAGTCCCTGATGATGCACCAGGACACACCAGGAGTCGGTGACTTACCTTTCCTCCAATCTTCTACAGTCATTGTGTTTGGAGTGAGGAGAAATCAAGCCCATATACGGGATACCACGTACACAACACAGTGACCACAAATACGTGCACAAACACACACACACAAAGAGGTTTGTTTATGAGCTAACTAATCACAAAACTTGTACATCCATTATGATAAAATTATGATTTCAAATATTCAAGTTATGGAAACTGGGAAGGCCCAGTTTCCCAAGTACTATTTACTACTGTTAGCTTTCCGCTAACCACAAAAGCAGTTGTTTCACTAATGCAATAGACCCTCTTAATATGTGGCCTTGTTAGGACTACAGCTGCTCATAATGGACTTCAGTCATTCAGTCAAGTAATACTTCAGAGAAAATTAGAATAATCCAATCTTTGGATCAATTAGGAGTATGTCATTGGAGTTCAGCTTGGCAAGCAGAGTAGCTAAAGATTTGGAAAAGGGTCTGATTGAACAATATATTTAGTATTTGTTAGGGGTGGCAGATGACACTATTATTAGTGTTAGTATGAGATACATGCAGGATTAATGGAAGAATTTTAAAGTGGCCCTATTATGCCATTTCCAATATTGCCTTTCATGCAGCGTGTAATGTAGCTGTATGTGAATATAAACGATCTGCAAAGTTGTAAAGCTGAAAGTGCACGATAAAGTTATTGTCTCCCAAAAGAAAGAATCGACTCTGAACAGCTGAAACGAGTCGTTAGTAATTCGAATCCCACTTCCGTGATGGCTACACGTCACGGGGTAACACATTTGCATAATGCGCCTATGTTCTACTTTGGCCGGCAGCAAACAACTTGACCCCGCCCACAAACACGTCATTTTACTGACGACTGCTTCTCTAATCTCGGGGAGTTTAACGCGGGATTCACAAAACGCTTGCTGTTGAAAGATGGATCAGTATCCTGTTTATTTGGACCAGCTGCTCCACTGAATCACAACCTGTAAGTATGATAAATAATAGATGTTTCTATTTTCTATAGAGCGTTCAAAATACAGAACTATTGAAATAGGCTTATCATTTCCGACACGCGCTGTATGCCATAGACCAATCACAACAGACTAGGCCATCTGACCAATCAGAGCAGAGCAGGCTCATGGAAAGGAGGGGTTTAGAAAGACTGAATCTTTGAACTGCTTCGAATGAATCGTTTGAGAATCGCTGGAAAATGAGGTGATATTAAGTGCATATTTTGAGAAAACGAAAGCGTTTTTGACATTGCATGCATGTAATCCTGTTGTAGGAGACTCCCAAAACAATATTAGGAACCGTAAAAATGGCATAATAGGGGCACTTTAAGTAACTTACAGTGGGGCAATTTCTTAAAATTATTAAAAAAAAAAAAAGAGGTATAATTATTAGTAATACAAATTAAGCAATATAAAATAATATGTCATATAGTATACAAATAAGATAATTTTAGACTACTGTAAAAGTTTGGGGGTCAGTAAGATTTTTAATGGTTTTTGAAAGAACTCTCATGTCTACCAAGGCTGCATTTATTTGATCAAAAATACAGTAAAAATAGCAATAATGTGAAAAATATTACAATTTAAAATAACATTATATTTTAAAGTTTAATTTATTGATGGCACATTTGAATTTTCAGTCTTCAGTGTCAATTGATCTAATATGCTGATTTGCTGCTCAAGAAACATTTCTTATTATTATCAATGTTGAAAACAGTTGTGCTGCTTAATATTTTTGTGGAAACTTGACCCCAAATTTTGAACAGTAGTGCTTATGCATCCTTTAAGCATCTTACTTAGAACATACATTTAAAAAGTAATTTAATTTTACAATAATTAGTTATTCAATGAAAAAAGGTCCACAAATAAGCTTGTCTTTGAAACAGTACAAAACCCACTGTAAGTTAAAGATAAGTGTAACTGCTCTGTGAACCAAATGTTTTTTTTCAAATAAGTTTTTTTCACAAAACTTATTTGTGAAGTTTTGAATGGAAGGAGGTACTCACCAATCCATTACTGTGGCCTTTCCTGCCTGGCCCTTCAGCCATCTCTAGACTGTTGCCAGTGGCATCAATGCTGGAACTAGATGCCAGAGTGGCACGAGGAATATGGGTTACGTTCTGAGAGGGCCACGTGGCCCGGAACTCCTCAGCAGGGTACGGGCTGCTGTAATAATTGCTGTTTGATGACTTCTTGCTGTAAAATAAGTAATAAACACACAAATTGGGAAATGTACATCCATAAACAAGCATAAAAGACTCGCATAGAGACATTGAAATGCACGCCCTATACCTGAGCAATCATAAACACTCACCCACGAGTTACACAGATGTAGATGAGAACAGCCAAAATCACAATGAGTAGAATTCCCCCTAACACACACGCCACCACCACTAGAGCCAACAAAGAGGCTACACAGAGAGACAAGGTCATTAGACGCACATATACACAAAATTACTTTAATGGTTAAAAATGAGGAAATACTGTCATAATAATATCTTACAGTCGTCACAGTTGAATCCAGAATAGCCAAATGGACATCTGTTTAAGAAAAGGACATAAACATGCTGAAACAGTGATGTGACTGTTGCAATATTGCCTTGACACAAGGGGGCAGTAGTTTCTATTACAAATACACTGATGATACACTCAACTACTGAATAGAGCAGTTTAGTTTGTAACAAGGAAGACATTTAGTATTTCTGAACCATCATGTTTGAGGTATGAATATGGTTCACATTACTGGAACAGATAAATTACACACCGACCTTGTTTTAATCAAATGAAAACCTCTATTTTATGGCCTTAAAGGTTGGCCTACACATTGAAGGCATGACTAAAAATCTCTATTATTTAAACACTGTACTTTTTCCCTATTGGACAAACATAAAAAGTTTGTATTGTAGTTTAAGAGATGATGTGTATTTAATGATGTATATGAGCGTGCGTTTATTAAGAACAAAGAAATTAAATGGTACTCACTGAACACACATGTTCTCTTGCGCTTTGTATCCACTAGGGCAAACTGTGAAAAGAGTAGAGAGTAAATAGACTGAATCATAGAAAGATGGTGAAGCAGACAGAAAAACAATGAACTAAACTATGGATAGTTTTAAATTTGCTATGATTGTGTGATTCCTGTTGCTGAGAATCTCACTCAAGAACAGAAATGAACTTTTTGCTATACCTGCCAATAGTTGCAGAATCAATAAAATAATAATAATTACCAGACAAAAACACTTCTTTCTGGCCATGAAACGGTATTATTTTTTTATTCTTTTAATTATTTTATAATTGTTTTATTTCTTCATTGTTTTTCATTCTTTGTTGTTTAATGTTTGGTGAGTGTACTGTATGTTCTCAACACTTATCTCAGCGGACCAGGATTCATTTGTCTGTTACCATGGATAAAACCACAGCTAACTCAAAGGTCACGGATGAATATGATATGCACACACAAACACAGATGGTAGTCCATACAAATGGAGTAATAAAGACACATGCTCACCTCTACAGCTTCTGGCCTGGTATTGGCTAGATACATGGCCAGGTTTACAGGTACAAACAGGGGTCCCATCTTTGGCCTCACACACTGTAGTGTCAACATCACAAGGAGGAAGATCTTGCTCACACAGGTTGGTTACTATAAAGAAAGAGACAGGGAGACAGACAACATATTAGTGGGTAGTCGTTTAGATAGATGTATGACGGAAAGTGTCTCTTTGGTCCTTTCATTGTTTTAGCCATTTTTATCATGTTTACCTTCACTGGTTAATTTTAATTGGTCCTACGAAGTAACAAATGAATTTCTAAATATTTAATGTAGTCTCTAATTTAATATAAAGTCATAAAAAGCTACATGCATTATAATTATATAAAAAATGCAAATCAATTCAATATTTAATCAAATTGTTTAGCAATAATTAATTAGTTTTAGATGATAGCATGTGTGGCATAGTGGTCATATCAGTATCTTGGAAGTATTTCATGTAGAAAACTCCAGTATATTTTAGGGATATAATATTTTATGTGATCTAAAATATTCACAATTACAAAACATGGCCAGAGTCATGGTTAAACATCTCTAAACACTCCCATGTTTAGGCACTGGCACTGTATTGTATTCTTATTTGAGGAACAATCTTTTGCAGTTTAATACAACTGCAAAGAGAAGTTGCTTTACCAATCTTTGTGGAAATTAACAAAATGTTCTACATGCATTTGATGTTAACACTCTGAAGGTAATTTGTTGTTTAAACAGGAATTAAGGTTTAGAATGTTTGTCAAATAATGTAAATAAAAAATGATTTAATATAAAAATAGTTTTATACAATTATGTGAAAGCAGTATGTTTGTGAAACCAGTATAATGTATTATATGGTTTTCAATGTGGGCATTAAAACACTCTTCTCTCTGTTCATATCACAGCTTCTTCAACACATCTTTTCAAGCCACTCACCAGTGTATTGTGCATTAGCAAGAATGCTACAGTTTGTCACATTACAATCTCTTATAGCAGTATTCATGGCAGATATAACCGATTCCTGTGTGACTAGAGAATTGGGCTCAAAAAAACTGTTTACTGAGGCCACTATACTGCCAGACCTAGAAAAATATATACAAAGAGATTAGTAATTTGCAAATATGATACATATGTGTAAAGAGCTGTGGTTAAGAACTGTTTTCAAAGGGTCACTTACATCAGTTTAATTACTGTGCTCTTAATGTAGTTTGGCTGGTTACGCAGAGCTTCATTTACCTATGGCAAAAGGGAGGAAAGAGTAATTATTTAGGCTCACTGAGAATGAAGGATATTGATCCAGCATATCGGGGGGTTTTTGTTTGTTTGTTTGTTTGTTTGTTTGTTTGTTTTTACATTGGCAGTCCCAAGTTTTATTGGCATGACAATTAAACTAAAACAGTCTGTACTACCAAAGCAATAAACTTTATTTCAAAGTTGAATATAGTATCTAAGTACACACACACACACACACACACAAAAACAAACCAAAAATTACATAACTTTATCCAAATTTGTATTAATATATTTATTTTGCAGAGTTATTAATTTAATTATTAATTCCATATTGCTAACTGCACATGTAATGGAAATAAATCAGTGTATAGAAATAAATCTTTAAAAGTAATAAGTGAAATGTTAAAGTTAAAAGACCAGATTGTAATGTAAGTTGGTGACCTACCGCAGTAATTATCTCTTTAGCAGTTTCCTGGAATTCAGGTGATTTGGGATCATTCATAGCATTTACAAAAGTGCGGTTCACCCGAAGTGAACTAGTGAAGGTTTTAGCTGTAAATAAACAGAATGTGAGGCGAGAGAGTGGAGGTGTTAAAGTGATTGTCTTGGTAGTCTTTTTACTACAAAGATTCTTCCCAATAATCACTAGAATATGATTATATACAAATTAAATATAGAAAGATTTTTGTAATGCCCCATGGCCCTGTGTAAGAAAAAGGATACGTGGCCAGAGGCTTGGCATCAGATACTTACTTTCCACACAGGCATTATTTAAAGGAATAGTTCCTGTCACGCACTGACAGGTGGAGTTCACACAGACACTGAGTGGTGGACAGGGCACTGCAGGACAGGTAGCTAAAAGAAAAAAAAGATGTCATGTCACTCAGTGTTTATGAATGGGAGAAAGTATTAAATGCAGTTGTGAACTCTGCATTACTCTGAATTACTCCGCAATGCACAATCACACAACACATTCATTCAAACACACCTGGTGTGGTTGTAGTGTTAGTTGGGTTAGTGGTAGAGACAGTGGGTCCAGTTGTTGAGTTGGTTATGGGTGGTGTAGTAGCATTTCCTGGTGTAGACTGAGGTGGTAGGGTAGCATTCTCTGTTGTAGTGTTTCCTGGTGTAGTTATGGGTTGTGTGGTAGCATTTACTGTTGCATTATTCCCTGGTGTAGTAAGCGGTGGTGTAGTAGCATTTACTGGAGTAGTGATGGGTGGTGTAGTAGCATTTACTGTTGTAGACATGGGTGGTGTGGTGGCATTCACTGTTGCATTGTTCACTGGTGTAGTTAGAGGTGGTGTAGTAGCATTTAATGTTGTTGTTGCATTATTCCCTGGTGTAGTCATGGGTGGTGTGGTAGCATTAACTGTTGTGTTATTAACTGATGTAGTTAGAAGTGGTGTAGAAGCATTTACAGGTGTAGTCATAGGTGGTGTGGTAGTGTTTACTGTTGCATTGTTTCCTGGTGTACTTAAAGGTGGTGTAGTAACATTTACTGTTGTAGTAATGGGTGGTGTGGTACCATTTACTGTTGCATTATTCTCTGGTGTAGTTAAAGGTGGTATAGTAGCGCTTACTGGTGTAGTCATGGGTGTTGTGGTAACGTTTACTGTTGCATTATTCTCGAGTGTAGTTATGGGTGGTGTAGTAGCATTTACTGTTGTTGTTGCATTATTCCTTGGTGTAGTCATGGGTGGTGTGGTAGCATTAACTGTTGTGTTATTAACTGAAGTAGTTAGAAGTGGTGTAGAAACTGTTGCATTGTTTCCTGGTGTAGTCATAGGTGGTGTGGTAGCGTTTACTGTTGCATTGTTTCCTGGTGTAGTTAAAGGTGGTGTAGTTACATTTACTGTTGTAGTAATGGGTGGTGTGGTGCCATTTACTGTTACATTATTCTCTGGTGTAGTTAAAGGTGGTATAGTAGCATTTACTGGTGTAGTCATGCGTGTTGTGGTAACGTTTACTGTTGCATTATTCTCGAGTGTAGTTATGGGTGGTGTAGTAGCATTTACTGTTGCATTGTTCACTGGTGTAGTAAGAGGTGGTGTAGTAGCATTTACTGTTGTTGTTGCATTATTCCCTGGTGTAGTCATGGGTGGTGTGGTACCATTTACTGTTACATTATTCTCTGGTGTAGTTAAAGGTGGTGAAGTAGCATTTACTGTTGTGGTCATGGGTTGTGTGGTAGCATTTACTGTTGCATTGTTCCCTGGTGTAGTCATGGGTGGTGTAGTAGCATTTACTGTTGCATTATTCTCTGGTGTAGTTAAAGGTGGTATAGTAGCATTTACTGGTGTGGTCATGGGTTGTGTGGTAGCATTTACTGTTGCATTGTTCCCTGGTGAAGTCATGGGGAGTGTAGTAGCATTTACTGTTGCATTATTCTCTGGTGTAGTTAAAAGTGGTATAGTAGCGCTTACTGGTGTAGTCATGGGTGTTGTGGTAACGTTTACTGTTGCATTATTCTCGAGTGTAGTTATGGGTGGTGTAGTAGCATTTACTGTTGTTGTTGCATTATTCCTTGGTGTAGTCATGGGTGGTGTGGTAGCATTAACTGTTGTGTTATTAACTGAAGTAGTTAGAAGTGGTGTAGAAACATTTACAGGTGTAGTCATAGGTGGTGTGGTAGCGTTTTCTGTTGCATTGTTTCCTGGTGTAGTTAGAGGTGGTGTAGTAGCATTTACTGTTGCATTATACTCGAGTGTAGTTATGGGTGGTGTAGTAGCATTTACTGTTGTTGTTGCATTACTCCCTGGTGTAGTCATGGGTGGTGTGGTAGCATTAACTGTTGTGTTATTAACTGAAGTAGTTAGAAGTGGTGTAGAAACTGTTGCATTGTTTCCTGGTGTAGTCATAGGTGGTGTGGTAGCGTTTACTGTTGCATTGTTTCCTGGTGTAGTTAAAGGTGGTGTAGTTACATTTACTGTTGTAGTAATGGGTGGTGTGGTGCCATTTACTGTTACATTATTCTCTGGTGTAGTTAAAGGTGGTGTAGTAGCATTTACTGTTGTGGTCATGGGTTGTGTGGTAGCATTTACTGTTGCATTGTTCCCAGGTGTAGTCATGGGTGATGTAGTAGCATTTACGGTTGCATTATTCTCTGGCGTAGTTAAAGGTGGTATAGTAGCACTTACTGGTGTAGTCATGGGAGTTGTGGTAACGTTTACTGTTGCATTATTCTCGAGTGTAGTTATGGGTGGTGTAGTAGCATTTACTGTTGTGGTCATGGGTTGTGTGGTAGCATTTACTGTTGCATTATTCTCTGGTGTAGTTAAAGGTGGTATAGTAGCATTTACTGGTGTAGTCATGGGTGGTGTGGTAGCATTTACTGTTGCATTATTCTCTGGTGTAGTTAAAGGTGGTATAGTAGCATTTACTGGTGTAGTCATGGGTGGTGTGGTAGCATTTACTGTTGCATTATTCTCTGGTGTAGTTAAAGGTGGTATAGTAGCATTTACTGGTGTAGTCATGGGTGGTGTGGTAGCATTAACTGTTGTGTTATGAGCTGATGTAGTTAGAAGTGGTGTAGAAACATTTACAGGTGTAGTCATAGGTGGTGTGGTAACGTTTACTGTTGCATTGTTTCCTGTATTAACTGTTGTGTTATTAACTGATGTAGTTAGAAGTGGTGTAGAAACATTTACAGGTGTAGTCATAGGTGGTGTGGTAGCATTTACTGTTGCATTATTCTCTGGTGTAGTTAAACGTGGTATAGTAGCATTTACTGGTGTAGTCATGCGTGTTGTGGTAACGTTTACTGTTGCATTATTCTCGAGTGTAGTTATGGGTGGTGTAGTGGCATATACTGTTGCATTGTTCACTGGTGTAGTTAGAGGTGGTGTAGTAGCATTTACTGTTGTTGTTGCATTATTCCCTGGTGTAGTCATGGGGAGTGTGGTAGCATTTACTGTTGCATTATTCTCTGGTGTAGTTAAACGTGGTATAGTAGCATTTACTGGTGTAGTCATGCGTGTTGTGGTAACGTTTACTGTTGCATTATTCTCGAGTGTAGTTATGGGTGGTGTAGTAGCATTTACTGTTGCATTGTTCACTGGTGTAGTTAGAGGTGGTGTAGTAGCATTTACTGTTGTTGTTGCATTATTCCCTGGTGTAGTCATGGGTGGTGTGGTAGCATTAACTGTTGTGTTATTAACTGATGTAGTTAGAAGTGGTGTAGAAACATTTACAGGTGTAGTCATAGGTGGTGTGGTAGCATTTACTGTTGCATTGTTTCCTGTTGTAGTTAAAGGTGGTGTAGTAACATTTACTGTTGTAGTAATGGGTGGTGGGGTACCATTTACTGTTGCATTATTCTCTGGTGTAGTTAAAGGTGGTGAAGTAGCATTTACTGTTGTGGTCATGGATTGTGTGGTAGCATTTACTGTTGCATTGTTCCCTGCTGTAGTCATGGGTGGTGTAGTAGCATTTACTGTTGTAGTCATGGGTGTTGTAGTAACGTTTACTGTTGCATTATTCTCGAGTGTAGTTATGGGTGGTGTACTAGCGTTTACTGTTGCATTATTCTCTGGTGTAGTTAAAGGTGGTATAGTAGCATTTACTGGTGTAGTCATGGGTGGTGTGGTAGTGTTTACTATTGCATTGTTCCCTGTTGTAGTTGGAGGTGGTGCAGTTGCATTTACTGGTGTAGTTATGGGTGGTGTAGTAGCGTTTACTGTTGCATTGTTCCCTGGTGTAATTGTAAGTGGTGCAGTTGCGTTTACTGGTGTAGTTATGGGTGGTGTAGTAGCGTTTACTGTTGCATTGTTCCCTGGTGTAGTTTGGGGTTGTGCAGTAGCATTTACTGGTGTAGTCAGGGGTGGTATGGTAGCATTTACTGTTGCATTATTCCCTGGTGTACTTTGATTTGAAATATATGTGCTTAAGGGTGGAGTTGTGGCACGGTTTGCTGTTGTAGCATTACCTGGTGTAGTCTGTGTTGTAATTGTGACATTGCTTGGTGTTGTAATTGGTGAAGCTGTGCTGTTGCTTGGTGTGCTAATGGGAGTAGTGTCATTGCCTCTTGTAGTTTGGAGTGGGTTTGTGCTGTTGCCTGGCTCAGGTAAAGGACCAGTTGTGGCATTGTCTGGTGAAGTTACAGGATGGTTTGTAGCATTCTCTGGTGTAGGCACAAGTGGACTTGTGGTTCTGGCTGCTGCTGTTGTTACAGGTGCAGGTGAAGCTGTGGCATTTCCTGGTGTAATCGCTGATGAACTGGTAGCATTTTCTGGTACAACTGTAGATAAGCTTGTCACGTTGCCTTGAGTAGATAAAGGTGGAGATGTGACATTGCTAGCATGCGTTGACAGCAGTGGGGTTGTGGCATTGTTTGCGAATGGTGTAGTTGTATTCTCAGATGGAATGCTTGTTACTGCTGTTGTCGACCACAAACAAATGATCAGAAACAGAAAAAAAGATGATTGCATAAAGATTTGAGAAGCAACATAAAATCTGAGCATGTGTCACGCAGTCATTATACAAGTTTTTTGTGTGTGTGTGTCAGCCTGCACTGTTTTTTTAATTGTTTTTCTATGCAAATATGCTAGATGGATGTCTTTGGCTATTTAGTTGCTTTTTGCAGTTTTCGTGTTTTAATAGTTTAAAACATGACTAGAGATACCTTTGTTCTGCTCAGGTGTGCCACTGCTCTCCTGATTATTTGGTCTGAAGGGTCTCAAGTCATATAGAAGTTTGCAATTATATATCATTCATGCTAGACATACTTAATCTGAGGGTATGTATGTATGTGTGTGTGTATACAGTGG